CTTTTCATTTCAGAAAACGGGGCATTTCAAATAATAAGTCTATACAATTTAAACTATAGCATATGATCAAAATCACCTTGAACATATGGACAGCATAAAGCTTCAAAGGACATACACTTGAAAGTTAATGGTAGTTAAATGGGTGGTAGGATTATAGCAGATTTTTTCCTTCCTTCTGCTCGTTTGCAAAATCAACAGCTGTGTGACGTGAAGATCAATAGTTGGAATGACAGTAAGTTTATCATCATTGTAATTGTGCTCATTAGTATCTGAGTTCTCTCTCCCCTGGTTTCCCACATGCTTGTTATTTCCACACAGCAATGTTAATTATGGTGATGTAACACTAGAATGAATGGCTAGAAGTGGATGCAGTGGCACTATGGAGACACAAGCTAATAGAACAGAAAGGGGTCTTTAGACTTCACTCCAGGCTGCCTCCTACCTTAAGACGAGTAGATTTGTGAACCCCTCCACACATGGAGCTGTCAGTGCTTTTCCTAAAGATAGCCAAGGAGACGCATGATCAAGACACTGACATTCCAACAAATAATTACAAATCATTCAATCCTACAACAGGGCAAGTAACCCATGATGTTGTGGTTTTCTTCTCTTTTATAAACAGAACTGATCAATGGTTGTGGGTCCATACTTTCTAGAACAAAATCCAAAATTTCTAAGTTTCTTTTGGAAGGAAATACCCAAAGAGGGGAGGAGTAGTTGATCAAGGGCCCCAGCCCTGAGACCCCTCATTTTCAAGTATCTTTCATTCTAATTCCCCTAGTCACCACCCCTCCCATGCTGGTCCCCAAGAAAACACTAATTCTTTTTTAGTGGTCTGAGCAGAGACATAAGTCTTTATTTTTATCTCTTTCACATAATAGAATTTTCAAAAACTCTTTCAAAATGCTAATGTAGCCAAATAGGCTACGAAATGGACAAAGGCCAGAAGGATCCACCAAAATGTTAACAGTGGTTACATCTAAGAAGTTGGACTATATGTTATTATTTTGACTAATTATTTTTTCTGGGTATTTAAAACAAGACATAAACATTTTCACTGTGCAGTGAAGCTTTCACTATGTGTACACAGGTCTTTCTTCATCTCAAGAAGAGTTTCTTCTACTGTATCTTTGGTTATTGCTTCTAGTTAAATTGTACTATTTTCTACTTCAAGAATAATAATTATCTGTATGCTGATTTTATACCCTCCTTTCTCATTATTATCTCGCTAATTGGAATTTTCCCCCAATTTCCTCTCCATTCTTGAGGAACTTCTCCATCGATCTCTAAGTCACTTATATGATTTTCTGCAGGATCAGTTTACTTTTTTCTTTGACTGCTGTTAAAATATTACCTTCATGGCCATATTTGTCCATCTCCTTTTTCGTCTTATCCTGCTCTCTTTTCACTTAGTCCATTCTCTCCTTAAGGATACCTTAATTACGTGTCAGAGAAATCATGACTTCTTATACTCTATTGAAAATGCCTAATTATTTCTTAATAATTTGTCCTTGATTCTGAAATACACCATTTTCAGGTGTAGGTTCTTATTTGTCTTTGGTTTGACATTCTCTTCTTCAGCAGTATTTTTCACAAATAGGGACTTAAATGTCCCTTGATGTGACATCCTGTCCCCCGGGGGGTGGCTAAGTCCCCTGCTCAGACCGACGGCTACAGCATGAGTTCACACGTGAAGCCACTAATCCAACCCTCGTTTGGATGAAATGAGGCAGTGGCGAGCAGAATCTGGTGGTTTGATGTTGAAAGAGAGAACGAAGACTCTGACCCTGGGAGATGAGAGGGGTCCAGACAGTGAGATAGGAGTGCATTTTAAGCAAACTTTATCTTCTTTCCAGATTAGCCACTGGGCCAGCCTTGGCCATTTCCCTTCCTGTAGGGTCTCAGTGTCTCCCATAAAGGGGTGACAAGGAAGAGTTTTGTGAGCTGTGAATAAGGGTGATGAGCAAAAAGAGGCTTCGGTGATCAAATATATTATGAAAACAGGATTAAATAAAGATTAAGAGGTTTATTTACTGTGTCAGTACTCAGACACTCAAATAGGCTGGGTGTATGGCTAACTCCCAGGAAGTGGCTCTGGTAGGCTGCACTTCCCAGACGTCATCGACAATGGTAACCATTTGATGGAGTCTCTTATTGGACAAATATTTCCTGGAAGACACTTTTAGAAACAATGTTCTAACTTTTGTGATTCCCATTCTCACTCACTCCAGCCTTTCTTTGTCTGTACAGATAAGGTAAGGGGGTCAGAAGGGCAAGCTAGTTACAATACATCAACTCCATCAGGCTCCCTAGAAAAACCTGGAAGAGTCTGAGGGGTGGGTGAGGCAGGACCACCTGTGCATGGCAAACATGATGTAGGGTGTGAGCACTTCCTGTCCCCCATGGCAATGGATGAGGACTGAGGGAAGGAACACATCCAATTACAAAAAGTCAATGGCAAGGGCTTCCCTGGTGGCACAGTGGTTGAGAGTCCGCCTGCCGATGCAGGGGACACGGGTTCGTGCCCTGGTCCGGGAAGATCCCACATGCCGCGGAGCAGCTGGGTCCGTGAGCCATGGCTGCTGAGCCTGTGAGTCCAGAGCCTGTGCTCCGCAACGGGAGAGGCCACAACAGTGAGAGGCCCACGTACCGCAAAAAAAAAAAAGAAAAGAAAAAAGTCAATGGCAAGAACTCAGTCATAAGCAAGGCCCTGAGTTCTTCTTCCTTTTCACAGGAATCTGGCAGTGCAGCCTAGAAGCCAACTGTATTACTGTTATGTCTGAGAAAGTGTATGGCATCCATTCTCTTGATCTAACATGGTCACAGCTTCATATAAAATTCAGAGTATTAGACTAGAAAAGAATAAGGAGCTCTTGGACTCCAACACCCTTGACTTACAAATGGATAAACTGTGGGCCTGGGAGGTGAAGAACCTTGTAAAAGGCCCCCAAAACAGCACCTCGGAGTCTGTACCCTGATCTCCAGTGCCTTTTCCACTAAACTATGATGCCGTGTATATAACTTGAAAAAATACGAGTGTAAAATTGAAGACCAAATAGTTAAATGAGGGCACTTTTTAAAGCATTTTATTCCTCATTCTAAAACAATTGCAAAATGTAAGTTTTTCTCATCTTCCCATTTTGACAGATGAAAAATAAATTATTATTACTTCATTCATTCACTCATTTGTCTGTCCAATCATTCAAAAAGTGTTCACTGAGCACCTACTATATACCAGGCACTGTACCAGGGACTTGGAATATAATGGTGAAAATATTTGACATCATCCCAACTTACATTTTGATGAGGGAGACAGACATTATCCAAAAAAAGTCACATAAATAAGTATTATTGGGTTGATTCTGATAAATTGTGCAAGTATTAGACCCGTGGAGACACAGAAAGCTGAAGAGCAATAGTGACTACAATAAACAAAATTAACACTGAACCCAAAAGACAAAGAATCAAGAGACCTAAAAATAGGAACATTTTTATGGCCAAGGAATCCCATTTGCTGGAGAGGCAGAGGCAGAAATGTAAATACCAACATTGTAATCCTCCTGTCTTTGAAAAGGGCTTTGGGGTAGACCCAACCCATATTGATGATTCCAGACTAATTTCCTTTTTGGTAAACCCAAGTGAATCTCTCACCATCTTTAGCAGCACAGCTTTGCTGGGGAAGCAACAAATAGGCATTTATAATTGTGATACGGAGTTGAATGACGCCCCTGAGCTGGTGGGCACAGCTACAGGAATCTCAGGAAGTGTTGCCTGACAGTCCATCTAAGGCTTGCGGTAAATATGCCTTCACGGGCTGTGTGTGTGGAGGAGAATCAGAGCAAGAGAGCAGGAGCAGTTGCCAGGGAGGGCTGGGGTGGAGGTCACGTCCCACGTAGGGAAGGTCTTTCCTTCTCCTCCACCTCTATGTACTTGCAGATCTGCTGGAGGGCACTTTCAGGATTTCGCCAGGTTGTGGAACAAGGAACCAACGGGGGCTTTGGAGGGAGACCATGCAGCCTTCCTCCCACCGGCTCTTCTGCTTTACCCTGGGTAACATTGCTCAAGCCCTGCATCCTTGCAGAACACCAATGCCCTTCCTTTTTAAAAGCCATCACTTGAAAATTAAATGAGATTACAAGTTTAAAGCCTGGCACATAGTAGGGGTTCAACGAATATAGTCCCCCCACTCCATGCTTTCCCCGCTTTCTACTTTGTCACTGAATGCGGGACCCTAATTTATCTAGGTCTCAATTTCATCATCTGTGAAATAATAGGGCATGAGGTGATTGCTGGGCTTCCTTTTAATTCAGGCATTTTAGGAGTTTCTCATTGTACACCATACAGAGAAGGAACAGCAGAGGCTGGGACTTCCGTGACCCTGGTCTGTAGGGGTGAATTCCCAGGTTGCTCCCCAGCATCAAACATGACCTAGGCAAAGACAGGAAAAATAAATGACTAGGAAAGGGCCAGCCTTGCAGTGTGCTTGCCTGCAAACAATTCACACGCGGTTGGGGGCCCTCAGCTGGAAACCAGTGTTTCATTTGCAGCGAAAACTTCATTTGCAGCGAAAACTTGCTATTTGCAATAATGTCAGTGGCTGACGGTTGGGATTCAGTGGCTCCTGGCCTGAGCCATCACTGAGCAACCAATTTTCACTTTGCAAGTCAGAATGACCCCTCCAGGGCTCCGTGCCAGAGAGGAAGGGAGGCGTGGGTCTCTGTTGGGACACGTTTGGGCACGGAGCCCATAGGGGCCTCAGATAGCTGTTTATGGCCTGCGGTTCTTGCCCCTTACAAGCCCTTCTTCACTACAAACACATAGCTTTTCTTGTTCTGGGAGCTCTCAGGGGCTTACCCATCTTTCTTAGAGTCAGAAAGAGGAGGGAGGAAAGCAGGCAATGAGAAAAAAGGCAAACAGGAAGATGCAGCTGTTTGAAGCAGCAAATAGAATATCGGATGTGGCCCTAGGACTGCTGGGTATAATGCTTGGATCTGACACAAGCCAGCCGCCTGGCCACAGCTGTCGCCTCCTGTCTCTGGATGCAGTTTGCTCAGGTGTAAAGGCTCGAGGTTTGACGAGGTGGTCTTGGTTCGACTTCCCGTTGTCCCTAATGTCCTGTGACTCATTCTAAACAGGGAAGGGCGGAGAAAAGGAGGAAATGGAAGAAGAGAAGGAGAAGGTGGAAAGCAGGTGGCTGAGGCTTCTTCAAAAAGAAGAGAGGAAAACGAGGAAGGCTGCCACAACAAAGAGGAAAACAACACAGATTTGCCGAAAGTATTCCTCACAGAGGTGTAAGTAATCTCTACGGTAATCATGATGACAATTATTAGCATAAACAGCCGAAGTCCTAATTAATTTCCTAAAGGGCAGCATCCTGCAGGTGACTCAGGGATGCTCTCCCCACCGACGCCCCCCCAGTAAAAAAAAAAACCCTTGAGGATCCCTCTTTCCTGAGTCCATAGTTCTGGGAGCCAAAGGGGAGGACGAGGGAAACATTTGGGCTCTGAGTCTGGCCAACTGGTGTTGAGTCACCCAGGACAGCCCAAGAACGCCCGGCCAAGGTTGTTCTGCAGAGACAGCGTCCCAACACCCACGTGCTCTGAGCCTGCACCAGTAGCAACAGGATCCCAGTCACCTTGTACCGTCGAGGGCTTCCCAGCTACTTCCTGAAGGGGACCCATAGGCCAAAGGCTTCTTATCCACAGAAGGACTGCTTGTGACTTTCCTGGCTACCTGGATCTGTTCTCATTCTCCCTGGCTTTGCTTTACTTCTGCTAACAGCCATCATCAGCTCAGCCCTGCCTCTCCTGGTCCCCAGCGTGTGGCAGGTCCCTGATCCTGTATCCCCCTCCCTCCACTTGCCTCAGAACTGACCCGGCTCCTTTCCTTCCCTAGCTCTGATCTTCAGAGCTCTTTAGATCTACCTCTGAGTCTCCTAACACCCTGTGTCAGGAAATGCTTGTACACAGCCCCGCGCTCTTATGAAACTGCAAGGAATCCGCTCTAAATCTTAAGGGCTTCACTGCTGTATCCAGGTTATGTTTACAAGATTAAGACTGGTGGGAGGTGGGCAGCAAGTAATCAATTCAAAGACACTTTCTGGAAAGAAATCGGATTCAAACCTGTTCAGGGAATTAACAGCACTTAAAAAAATTTTATGTGAGGCAAGCCATTATAATTTCTCACAAAAGGCCTGCAAGTGATTTGGGATTGGTTTGTAACCTGTTACAGAAAAACCCAAATTCAGAATAAGATAATCCTAAGAATGGTAATCAATGAGGTCATATTGGTTTGTGGTATCTTGACTCTGTCCAAAGGACAGGGGATGCATATGAATCAGAGAACAATGATCAAGAAAAACCAGTATTAACCCAAAAGCTAAGGTGAGAATTGGGGTAGCCATTCTAAAACAATGGCAACTGGAGGGGTTTTAAAGCACTCACAGCGATTACAGAAAGCACAAGTACACCCCAAGGAAGTCTGCGTTATTGGAAAGGGATTTACTGTAAATTCCTAATTTAGGACCAGGAATGGTTTCCTTAGGCAGGAATTGAGCACAGTTGCATTAGTAAGAGCATAACATTTGGTTTAGGTTTTTACATTTTGCAATATTTCACCAAAGCTATTTTAAAATTTACATGTCAGTATAGTCATTTTTTTATCTCAATATATCTATTGTTATATTAAAATCTTGTTTTTATGGATTTAGGAGCCCCGGCATTTCAGCTTCTTGTATCTCTATATTTTCTATTCTTGGGGAGAGCACAACAGTGAACTGGCTTGTGCATTTAAATCCAGCTGTCGAGAGGCTTTCGACAGGCCCTATGCAGAGTTGTTAGGCAGTGGGGCTGTGGATCTTAGCATCAGAAACACCTGAAATGCTTGTTAAAAATATGCACTCCCAGGATGCCCAAAAGGTTTTCCAGTCTTGCACTGAGATGCACAAATCAGAATCTCTTGGAGTAAGACCCAAGAATCAGGCTTTGAATTGGAATCTGTGGCAAACTCTATTTCCCCAAAAGAGCTGTGACACAGTATCTCTCATCCCGTATCCTCCTCTGTAATATAATCCTGCCTCCATGCCTTCAAGAGGTGGGGTCTGTGTCCCCTCCCTCCTTCAGCCTGGACGGGCTTATGGCTGCTTTGCAGTGCGAGTACAGTGAAGTCAACATTGTGTGACTTTATACTGGGACATAAAGGGTGATGCAGTTTCTAGCTTGTTCTCTGGAGCACTCGCATTTGGCGTCCTAGGCTGCCTTCTAAGTCCAGCTAAGCTAAGGCAGCCCTGGTGTGTGGAAGCCAAGTCACCTGGAGAGGCCCATGCAGGTGTTCTGGTGGCAGTACTGCTCTGCAAGTCATCCCAGCCCAGACGTTTGAGTGAAGGACCCTCCAGATGATTCTGCACTAGAAGACAGACATCCCAGATTTCGCACTAGCCAGAGGACAAATGAGAATACTTGAGTTGTAATTGACATTACAGTTGGCTTTAATGTCACGACTGATGTTCGTCTATTTATTCATCCGTTCAATGAAACATGTATTGATTGTCCGCTATCGCCAGATTGTTCTAAAGTCTGGAGACACAGCAAAGTCCAAGAAACATCCCCCAGTGTCAAGGACCATACATTCTAAGGATGGCAGAGCACAGTGTGGCTGGGTGGGAGGAATAGACAAAAACAAATAAATAAATACATTAACAAGATAAGGTAATGTTAAATGTTGTGGAAACAGTAGAGCAAAGGAATGTGATGGGGGCGGGCACTATTTTATATTGCGTGGTCAACCTCTCCCAGGAGTTGTAGTTTGAATTGAGACTTGTATTTGTTTCCTGGAGCTGCCATGACAAAGTACCACAGACTGGGTGTGAGGGTTAAATAACAGAAATGTATCGTCTCACAGTTCTGGGGGCCAGAAGTCCAAGATCAAGAAGTTGGCAGAGTTGTTTCCCTCTGGGCGCCGTGGAGGAGAATCTGGTCCATGCCCCTCTCCTAGCTTCTGGTGGTTTGCTAGCCAGCTTTGCCATTCTTTGGTTTGAAGAGGTGTCACCCCGACCTCTGTCTTCATCTTCACACGGCGTTCTCCCTGTGTGCACATCTATCTCCCAATTTCCCCTTTTTATAAGGACACAGTCACATTGCATTAGGGGCCCACCCTAACCCAGTATGGCCTCATCCTAATTTAATTAACTGCGTCTGCAATGACGCTGTTTCGCAATAAGGTCACATTCTGATGCAGTAGGTTTTAGGACTTCAACTTATGAAGTTTGGGAGATCACAGTCCAGCCTTTAACAGTACCTGAAGGATGAGGACCGCGCTCTATAATAATGTGGAGCTGAGCATGCCAGGTAGAGGGCAAAGCAGAAGCAGAAACAAGTTTGATATTCAAAAGTCAGACCAGCAGTCAATGCTAGAACACAGAGAGGAAGGGGGTTCAGCCTCATCATCACATGGATTGACATGTACAGTGAACATTCCTCTAAACATTGCATCATGGGTGCTGTCACCAAAAGTCTGAGCTGCCCAGTGATCATATGCAATCCTCAGGGGTCCTATCAGTTCTACTTTGGACACATGGCTCAGAACCCAGCCCTCCTCTCCATCCCCACCAGCAGGCTTTGGTGAGCCATTTATTTCTCTCTTCTACTCTTTCAGTTGCTGGTTCATTGATCTTCCTGCCTTTAGATTCTCCACCCTCCCATCCATCCTTTGGAATACCAACAGAATCATTTTCTAAAACAGAAATCCAATCTCACTCATTCTAAAAAATATTCCTCAACTGCCTCTCCATTATTCACCAAAATAAAGTACAAAATCACCCGCGTGGTGCCGAAAGTCATACAAATCCAGCTTAGCTCCAGCCGAGTCTCCAGCCTTTCTGTCAACTGGACTCACTTCCCATTTCCCAGACTCCCTGTGTTAGGACTCTATTTTTGTTCATGCTTTCCCACTCTTCCCAGTGTTTTCTTTGTGTAATTAAAAAAAAAAAATTTTTGCCATGCTGGCTGGCTTGCAGGATCTTAGTTCCTCAACCAGGGATGGAACCTGTGCCCTTGGCAGTGAAAGCATGGAGTTCTAACCACTGGACTGCCAGGGAATTCCCATCCCACTTTTTCTTGATCAATACCTTATCTTTTAGAAACAGTTTGGTATTCATCTCCACTGGAAAAAAAAAAAAAAGCTCCTCTTCTCCATTCTTTCCCGAGAGCCTCCCCACCCTCCTTGGCCTGTGGTGGAATTAATTGCTTCTTTATCTTTGTCCCTATGGCAGCTTGCTTATCACGGATCACCTTGGCGTGTAGGTACCTGTTTGAATACCAGTCATTGGCTTCCCTTGTTGAAACCATGAATTCTTTGTCAGTGACAGTGCCTAGGATGGTACGTGTTCCATGAATGTTCGCCAGACCAAATTTAGTGGAATGCTAGTAATGAAATGAGTGCTGGCCTTCGGATTAGGTCACCACTGTTGACCTGAAACAAAGAGACAGACAGATAGTTCTGTAGCAAAGATGGGTTTATTCAGGGTCAGCAGAAAACTGCAGTTCGGGGTCTGCAACCACAGCAAGCCGCCTGTAAGGACCTGTATAGCAAGGAGAGGAGAACGCTTTTATAGTACGGAAAGGAAGTTGGGAGGGTGATAGTAAACAAAGAGTTTTTCAAGGCTTGTCATTGTCTGAGTCCTGGCCAGGAAAGAAGACGAGTCTTTCTTCTTCCTGTTGGGCTCTGCTGTCCTCACAGGGCTTGAGAGCGCCCCCTTCTGGTCTCCCAACTCTATTTAATTGAAGTTTCTGCTCATTAATTCTTTTCTAAAATATTTATTTATTTGGCTGCGCCGGGTCTTAGTTGCTGCATGCAGGATCTTCATTGCCACGTGCAGACTCTTTTAGTTGTGGCATGAACGTGGGATCTAGCTCCCTGACCAGGGATCGAACCCAGGCCCCCTGCTTTGGGAGCATGGAGTCTGAACCACTGGACCACCAGGGAAGTCCCTGATCATTAATTTTTACACGACTGTTTTGGTCATTGACATCCGTGGACCAGTTTCAGAGCTAATATTATTATCCCTGTCAATGTCTGTATCGATATAACTTAGTAGATTTGACATCTAGGCATGAATTCAAGTCCATTAAGATTAGGTACCGTCCTACCTAGAGACTGTCATACTGAGTGAAGTAAGTCAGATGGAGAAAGAGAAATATCGTATGATATCACTTGTATGCAGAATCTAAAAAGAAATGATACAACTGAACGTATTTACAAAACAGAAACGGACTCACAGACTTAGAGAATGAAT